TGATCTTACGCCTATATTTAGACATATTTTCATATAATTCTTTCATTATTTAATTCCTTGACCTTACACCTATAGTTAAACATATTTTCATATAATTCTTTCATTATTTAATTTCTTGATCTTACACCTACAGTTAGACATATCTTCATATAATTCTTTTATTATTTAATTTCGTGATCCTACTGCTATATTTATACACATAGTCTTATAATTTATTGAAGATTTAGATTTTATACTTACACTTATACATATTTATATAATTCAATTGTCTTCCGGATCTTACGCCTATATTTAAATATATTTTCATATAATTCTCTCATTATTTAATTTCTTGATCTGACTCATACATTTATACACATAGTCTCATTGCTAATTCAATAATAACTATCGATGTCGTATTCATATATCTATACATACTATAATTTATTTAACATGGGTCATTATGATCTTACTCATATATTGGTACATTTATTACAATTTATTTTATATTTATTATCTATGTCTTACTCATATATTATACACATATTCGTACATTGATTATTATAAATTGCTGTATATTTATTATCTTAGTCTCACTTGTATATTTACACATATATTCGCATAATTCACTCAATATTTAGCATCAAAAAAAGAAAAAGACAAAGATTTTACACTTATACTTTTAGACATATTCTTATTATCTATTTAGGATTTATCATCTTAATCTTACTTATATAATTATACATACTATAATTCACTGAACATATATCATCTGGGTCTGACTTATATATTTACACACATATTATACATGCTTATTCAACACTTATTATCGATGCCTTACTTTTATGTTTATACATACTATAACTTATTTAATATTTATCACTTGGATCTTACTCGCATATTTATACACACATTACTATAATTTAATTAAAATTTACCTTTTGATTCGATACATATTCTTATGATGTGTTTAACATATAGTTTCTTCATCTTACACCTACATTTGTACTCAAAACACGTTACAATGTTGACTGGCTTAATATTGACCCTCCCTATCCACAAATCATCTCAACTAAATCAATATTTAATCGAAGAACCCAGTCAAACAACTACAACACATACTTGAACAATCATTTCCTTTCATTTATACTATCAATTCATCTCAAACATACTCACATACAACGTAACATTAACATTTCACATTTATTGTAATCTCTTCATTAAGATCTTTCATAATGTTTCCTGATGATGTGTCACTCAATGTAACATGAAAGCTTGAATCCTTTTTATTTCTGTTTGAAATAAATAAAATATGCTTTTTGCAGCAGTTATCTCTTTATTTTCATATTTTTTTCCTACTGTTCACTCTCCTAAAAAATGAATAATTTCGATTCGTTAACGGTACGAGAATTCTTTTGTATCCAGTGTTAAAGCTGCAGATATACGCATGCGCCACGAACTTTTCCCCAGTCATAACCTTCTGGCTCCGGGTGTGGGTGTAAGTATAGGTATTTTCCTATTCACCAACACTCTAAACCTACATGCACACCAACACCTAATAAACAGCGACACATATCTATTTACTATTATCTGATAAGACTTAAATAAAGGAATGATCAAAGAATGAACCAATTAAATTTACGTATAGAGTGTTGTGTCGGTTGTTTTATATGTATTCAAAAACCTGTGCAATTGGAAAATTCGGATTCTTGCAAACAGACTCGTAATCAGTAAAGACTTTTATAGAAATAGCAAATAAAAATATCTGATTTACAGATTGTTAATCATGTCAA